TAAACAATCAACGTCCCCCCCTCAGCGGGCAAGGTAAAATTATCAAACGTTGACCGGTCCGCGGCGATAAAAAGGTTGGGGAGCACTGCTCTACAGGGTACGCAAGGTACAGCACAGCCCGCACTGGACCCCAGGCTAAGGATCCACTCTAGTTCTCGTAAGATAGGGAGACAGAGTGGATCTGCGGTACCGTGCGCTCCATTGCAGTGCAACCTGGGTCACGACTTAATGGTCAAGGACAAATGTGGGTCTTGAGGTTACACAGGTTGAGAACCACTGCTCTAGAACACATCTAGTAGCCAACAAGAATGATCTTAGCCATACTGTAAATACCAACAACCCCACACGCTATTTCTTCCTTATGTTGTTTCCTAATTAACAGACCCATTTCACTTACTCATTCATTCAACACTCCCCCGCTCCTTCGCTTCCCCAAATATTACGCCTGGTTTACACCTGTGCGTATTGCATAAGCGCGTCACACGCGCGTTTTCTTCCCGGAGTTTGGTGCGTTTTCATGTGCGTTTTTAAAATTAGAAACGCATACGCGCGTTCTATGCGCGATTTCAGTGATTTCGTCCGTTCCCGTCGAAGTCTATGGGCACTAACGCGCTACAAAACGGACCAATACGCAGCAAAAACGCTTCGGGACCTTTTCATGCGTGGCCCGTTTTGTAGTGCGTTCGGGACGGACGGAAATACGGACAGGTGGGAACTATACCATTCACTTCAATGATTTTTACATTTTGGTCCGTTTTGTAGTGCGTTCATCGAGCGTAGGACGCACTACAAAACGGTCAGGTGTGAACCAGCACTTACTTTGGACCTGGTGGGTGATTTCTGACCTATGATAATTCCAGTATTCCTACCACAAGTTATCATTAGCTATGCCAAATTCCTGCATTTCCAAAGAGGTTAAGTACTCTATCTAGGCTAGGGACTCCACACCTCAACAAATTCCTTATGTAAGCTCTTCCATTCTCATGATAACATTGAGTTCACATATCCATTCTCGTATCCGCGGTGTTACTATAGACTTCCAGTATCAGGGTATCAATGCCCTAGCCGCATGTAGTAGTGATCTGAAAAGACATTTCCTAACACTCTTTGACGGACCCGGTAAAATTGATAAAAGGGCCACTTCCTGGGTTTTTGGCCACTCTACTCCAGTAAGTCAATCAAATAAAATCAATCAAATGTAAAAAAAATCCCCCCGCCCCCGCTTCTGGAGCACCTACTATGAACACAACAATTGTGCTACACATGTTGGGTATCACCGTGTGCACCCGGGTGAGAGCAATAATTCTAGGACCAATAATAAAGTTTAACTCTAAACTGATGACCTGTACAGGCTTTTAAAGTGTTACCTATGGGCAATTTGGGTTATCGTATTTTATCGCTGTTTTACAGGCGCACGCAGTTTTTAAGTTTGGCATGTTTGGTATCTATTTACTTGGCACAATCTTATCTTTTATATTTTACAAACCTATTGGGTATTGTATTGTGTTTCTGTGCACTACAATTAACATAAGTGTAATTTTTACTGACGTTTTGGGTTTGATAAAGAGTTGCGCAAATATTATGCAATGTAAACATTTTCTGCCATTTTATTCTACAGGGTCTGTGCTTTCAGGAATAATATAACTCTTGGTGGTTTTAAGTAATTGTCAGGCCTAAAATGTGACAATGAGAGGGTTAATTAGTCATTAATACTGGTGGTAAATTTAAATATTGTAGAGATCAGCTGGATTTTTACTGGCAGATTTAGGGTCTGTTAGATGGGCCAGAAGATGACTGAATGGGCTTATCACTGTTATCTGCACAGTGTTCACAGAATGCCGTAAGCAGAGTGACAAATCAATGAGGGGGGAGAAGGGAGGCAGGTTATGGTCTCCGTCTCCGATCTCCGCATCCTTGCTCTACCAGAGGTAGAAGTGCGGTCAGCAGGCTCCGGCAGTTGCCTTGTAGCGGTAGCCGGCGCCATCTTGGAGACACGGCCTGATGAGACAGCTGATGGGAGCGACGAAAGGAAGTGATCCATCCCAGTGAAAGGAGTAGCAGTGTTGGCGCCTCTCCGGTCTCCGCTTTGAAGCCATGTGTGATTAGGGCAGGCAGGTGAGCTGTAACTGACTCTGTATGACTGTAGAGTAGAATGCGGCCTGGTAACTCGGCAGACAACCGTCTTCACGCCGATATGTCCTGGCCACGCTCCAGAGCCTACAATTCAATGTCTGACAATGTAACGTTATCAATGTTTGCTGGAAGCAATGCATGATGGGATATGTAGCCTTGAGAAATGGAGATTGCATCACATCAAGCAGCAGGGAAGGAGACACAAAGCACACTGGGAATCCAGGAAGTTGTTGAAAGTGATGGGCAGACAGAAGGCAGTAAGTTTTGATTGCATGATGAAAAACAACTATAGTAGGATGCATACTATTGCAATGCTGATGTCATAACAGAATAGTGTATGCAAACTACTGTATAGGACCATGCACACGGATGTGTGGAAATACGGCAACTAATATGCAGAATCTTGCTGGCAGAAGCTGGTGGCGAGATCTTGCGTAAAAAGTGCTCTGTACGCATGGAACATTTCTGCAATGTTTATATTGTACAGCATATAGCACCCTATTGGTTTAATACTGAATGGACCCTGGGCAACCATTATCCTGGACCCCTCACGCCACACCCCCTACCCGCCCCTCCATGCTATTTAGCCTATATATGCGCTTATATACGACAGGGGTGGAGCAACACTATGCAATTCCCATTGCATAGTAAACAGAACAGTATGGATCTTTTGCAGGATCAAGGCCACGGCTGTGCAAGGATTTTTGTGTACACAGGCGAAGGTGCATTTGATAACCCCGCCCCAGGCGCCCTCAGGCGGCTGCCTATGGAGCCTAACGCTAGCACTGACTAGCGTGTAGTGATCCCCATCATATGTACACAGAAAGCATGAAGTGACCGCCATCATATATACATGAAAAGCAGGTAGTGACCCTAATCATATATACTCGGAAAGCATGTAGTGACTAGGGCTGCCACCTGTCCAGGATTCACTTGGGTTTTGAATGCTGTGTCCGGGTTTCATGGCAGCAAAAACCCGGACACATGATGTCAGGCAGACGGGCAACCAAAATGAAGATAGGGGCTACTGGCCCCCCACTAACAATAGTCTCAACTGTGATATTTACATATGAATGGGTGGCGCTATTTACATATGAAGAAGCCATGACTCATTCTCCCAAAAAAATGTTTTCACGTCCCTAGAGTGTTTGGGTTTCACTTGAAGAAAAGGTGGCAACCCTAGTAGAGACCCCTCCTCGTATGTACACAGAAAGCATGTAGTGACCCCCATCGTATGTACACAGAAAGCATGTAGTGACCCCCATCGTATGTACACGGAAAGCATGTAGTGACCCCCATCGTATGTACACGGAAAGCATGTAGTGACCCCCATCGTTTGTACACGGAAAGTATGTAGTGACCCCCATCGTATGTACACGGAAAGTATGTAGTGACACCCATCGTATGTACACGGAGAGCATGTAGTGACCCCCATCGTATGTACACGGAAAGCATGTAGTGACTCCCATCGTATGTACACGGAAAGCATGTAGTGACCCCCATCATTTGTACAGAGAAAGCATGTAGTGACCCCCATCGTATGTACACGGAAAGTATGTAGTGACCCCCATCGTATGTACACGGAAAGTATGTAGTGACCCCCATCGTATGTACACGAAAAGCATGTAGTGAACCCCATCATATGTGCACAACAGCACATAGTGATCCAAACATACACATGTAACATGCAGTAACCCCCATCACAAATAGACAAGCAGCATGTAGTAACCCATCTCTCTGGATATTCAGTGTTCCCTAAGACACACATGTAGCATGTAGCAGCCAGTACAGACATGCAGTGCCTCCCCATCAGACACCCACTGTTCATGCTGCCTCAATCCAGGCTGTAGTCCCCTCACCCAGCATGCTCCCTCTGCCCCATCCAGGTGCAAAGGCCAGTGAACATCGGCGTCCAGGTCACATAGCAGATCCGCATGGAGGGGGAGGCCAGGAGTTTTGTAGCGCTGGCCCTGCTCAATGACTGGGCCCTGCATTCTAGTGACAAAAGACTCTCAGCAGCTCAAGCCGCCTGCATTCTAGTGACAAAAGACTCTCAGCAGCTCAAGTCGCCTGCATTCTAGTGACAAAAGACTCTCAGCAGCTCAAGCCGCCTGCATCCTAGTGACAAAAGACTCTCAGCAGCTCAAGCCGCCTGCATCCTAGTGACAAAAGACTCTCAGCAGCTCAAGCCGCCTGCATCCTAGTGACAAAAGACTCTCAGCAGCTAAAGCCGCCTGCAGTCTAGTGACAAAAGACTCTCAGCAGCTCAAGCCGCCTGCATCCTAGCATCAAAAGACTTTTAGCAGCTTACGTTTTGTGCACTGTGCTTTAGTAAACTGTCACTTAGAGTTTACATATGGAGGGTACATATTTACATCATAAGCCCAGGTCACTTCCAACATAATTGGCGTTAATTACTTTGTGATTACTACTTTAATATATTATGGGGGGGATTTATCAAAACTGGAGCAGACAGAATCTGTAGCATGACAACCAACCAGCTTCTTTCTTCAGTATAGCTTTGAAAATGAAAGATAGATGCTGAATGGTTGCCATGGACAACTGTTCTCGGTTCTTCCTGCACTAGTTTTGATAAATCCTCTTATACATTTGTAGAGTGAGTGGCAGAGTCTGTTCTACCTACTGACAGGGTGCGTGGGACAGCAAGCAAGGAGCAAAGGAGCAGATTTAACCAGCAGCGAGCAAAGAGGACAAGCCTATAGGACAGTAGCAGCAAGAGAGACGATTGCATAGCAGCGAGCAAAGGGGCGGAGCCCATAGAACAGTAGTGAGCAAGAGCGCCGATTGGATAGCAGTGAGCAAAGGGGAGGAGTCCATAGAACAGCAGAAAGCTGAGAGCAGATAGGAAAACAGTGAAGCGAGGGGGAGGAGCCAGGGCTTTTCTTAAGCTACACGCTTATAATCGCGCCGTCTTTAGCAGGCCAGTGTCTTGGGGTTCCGGTTCGTGGCTGGCTGAGATCAAGCAGCGAAGATGAGCGACAACGGGGAACAGAATTATGCCGATCGGGTTAGTAAGCACTTAATGTATACGGCGCTAACACATCTCCGGCTAGGCCGACACGGGCGATCGCATCTTTTTATTATTGGTGGTTGCTATGGTGGATTATCGGCGATCGCCTCATTTGCAGCACATTGAAATCATCGTGATGGCTGATAAGCCCTGTATTTCGTGAGATGTGATCGCTCGTGTAGCTCTAGGCTTCTACGCTGCTTGAACGCGGACAATTCCGATGGCTATTTCCCGGACTTGCCGTAGCGAAGAGCCGCGGATGTCGTTAGTACTAACTAGAACGTTATTTGCAGGTAATCGGTGTGTGAGCTGAGATCGGAGTGTGATATCACGAGGCCTAGCAGGAGGTGTGGGTAGCCGGCCGCCATTTTGTGTGCCTCTGCTTCCATAAGATGGCTCCGGGCTGTGACGACATCGCGGTGCAGAGCGAGCTGTGTGAGGAGACGAGGCCGTGTTGTGTGCCCGCCACTCCTTCACAATGGCGCTCCCGGCCTAGTAATTTAGCTTGGGGAGGCATTGTGTCATGTAATGGAACGCAGTACACACAATGCCCCTCATGCTTGTTGTATATTCGTCTAATTTCTGACGAGAGTGTACACCTGCCATTTCCGGGGCCACAGGTCTACATTCCTGCTTTGTTAAGGCCCAATTCACACCTCAGGGTAGCCATGTGCATTTGCGTGTTTCTAGCCCTGTAGACGTTTTATATTAAAATGCACAGGCTCTTCTATTGAAGTATATGGATTCAAAATGCATAATTGTGCCCCAGAGGAAGCTCATGGACACGTTAGGACATCTCACTCAGGTGTGAGGGTGCCCGTTAAAGTGAAATATTTAAAGTTTTTTTTTTTTTGTTTTAATTCTCTTTTTAGAAAGAGGAAGCCCTCCCTTCCATGATTGATTTAGTTTAGGTGTTTTATGTCCTGTTAGGTAAACTGCTCCCCTCTTGTTGGTGTCTCCTTCAGCTATCTGGGTGCTGAGGAGACTCGGGCCTGCAAGCTCCGGTGCTGTCCATAGACACACACAGCCTGTCAAGCCACGCCCCCTGCTCCTTCCACCACTCAGACTGACGGCAGAAAGAGCCTATGGCGCCTCTCCCCTCAATACCCGCTCCCACAACCAGAAAGTTTGGGGAACAGCAATGGCTTCCCTGACCCAGATGGGGGGACAAGCGAATGGAGATAAGGATTTGGGTATTGAGAAAGGTGCTGGGTGTTAATGCGGAGAATGCATTATGGTAAACACCAAGCCTGTAGTACTAATTTAAGAATGAAGTTCCTCAACTTAGCTGTAGTAGTTTTGGGCAGTCTGAGGTGTGAATGGGGCCTGAGGGAAACACGAGCTGCGGCTGCATTTTTTCGCTTTCAGGAGGCATGGGTGATGTTGCTGCGCTTTCCTGTAGAGCTGGGAGATTGAACCCGCATGAGACTGGTATCTTGCCGTAAGCTGGGGTGCGTTCTCAGGTTTTCAAGCTCCCAGATCTGCAGGAAGACGTGGTGACGTCGCCTGTGCCTCCGTGAAGCATCACAGACCGGGGTAAGTTGTTTTTTTTTTTGTTTTTGTGGGCAATCTGTTTTTTGAATGGCTAATTAACCCCTTGCCAGCAGCTCTTTTAAAAAGTCGTTGGAACAGCAAGAGCTGGGGCCTGACTTTTGGTCACATGATCTCTGTAACAGCCAATTACAGCAGTCATGTGATCAGATTTGTAAAAAAAAATGGCCTGTCGGTGACAGCTCTGTGAGCTTCTTGGGAAGTTGTTAAAGCAGTTTGTGTGTTGGGGGTGCAGAAAAAGCAGCTCTTCTATTTGGCATGGAAGGTCTGCATAAATGTAAAGTGATCTTTCAGCCCTCTGTGTAAAAAGCCTACAATGTGATTAGACCAGGTAAAACCTTTCTTCAGATTTAGTTTTGGATGGAGCAGGGAAGGGTTGGATCTTGATGGAATGATATAGCTTTTATGTATAGCTTTGTCTCCATTGGGGAGATTCTCCACTTGGTGATTGGCATTTGAATTAGAAAGTACGGGGGAATCCAACATTTTGGACCTGTCCCAGAACAAGAGGAAGGGGAATTGTTACTATGAGGGGGATGTCTGTCTGAAAGGGAATTCTTTTCACTTTGCGAGTTTTCCTCTAACTTCCTGGGACAGAAGGTGAATACCAGTGAGGAAAGTTCCAAACAGCCAGAAATAACCCGTTTTAATACTTGATATGCTATCCAATACTTAAGTAATCTGGGCAGAAATCTTACCCTTGCAATGCAGTACTAGCCCTGCTGCAAGGGTTAAGTGTTCATTTTGGTTGGACATAAATAAGTTATACTCATGATCTTTGGTCGGCTGGTTGCTAGACTGGTCTTTGCAGCCCCTCTCCCCCTTTGCTCCAGCCGTCTAAGTCCTTTGAGTTGTCGCATCTAATAAATGCAAAGGGGCATTCTATCGCTGGAGCAGAGGGAGAGAGGCTGATGGGCCGGCCTACCAGACAGCAAGCTCTGAGAATCGGGCGAATATAACTCTGTCCCATTTTAAAGGAGAACTATGAGGCGAGTGAAAACCACTCATCCTCATAGTTCGAGCTGACGTGTGACAATGAAACTGTCACAGGTCGGCTCCTAGGATCGGGAAGTGAGCGAACACATACCGGCGTTCACTTCTTGAAATGTCCCTGCAGAGAGCTGACTGTCACTCACGGCTCCCTGCAGGGATTGGGGATTGTTACAAGTTGCCATTCACAAACCATAATTATTATTTTTTAATGCTGCTTGTCTTGTATGCTGCGTTTATACTTGTGGTAAAAATGTGTTCAGCCTTCCCCTTCTATGTAATGTTAAGGAAGGGGCCGGCGAGTAATGTTAACCCTGCCTGTACTGTGCTGGCAGATTTCATTAATTGCTGTAAAGTAGATTTGAGCATTGTCAAAGGGTTGGCGATCTCAAGGCTTGGATGTTACATTGTAGGTCAGGGGTAGCCAAACTCCGGCCCTCCAGCTGTGGTGAAACTACATATCCCATGATCCTTCTCTCTCCGGATGTCATGTCTGTGGCTGTGAGAATCTTGCAATGCCTCATGGGGCATGTAGTTCCAACACAGCTGGAGAGCCGGAGTTTGGCTACCCCTGTTGTAGGTTATGGAAGTTTAACTGACCCTTTTAGGCACATTGCCAGTTATTCTAAGCAGCAGAAGCTGCCTGAGATTCCCATGTACAACCCGGCTCCAGAGTAACCACTATTAGATTTGCTGCATGAATAGGAACACATGACAGATCTAATGGGGGTTCTCAAATTTGACTGCACAAGTGAAAATATGCTTTAAAGTGTCTAAACTCTGCAGTTAAATCTTCAAAAAATACTTTCAAGTACTATTTAAAAAAATAAATATCTTATTGTATTCGTCAGCTGTAGATCCTGAAATCTTCTCTGAATTGGTGCCGAGTGTCCTTGTTACAAAGTTTCCTCCTTTTTAGCTTGTCTATATTATCATTAGTGTAGATGTGTCAGGACTAGATCTAAACATGAGATCTGTCACTTGGCTTACATTTTTCACCAGTGTCTCCTTCTGCCTTGTATGCAAAGATCGTAGACTAATTCCCTGGGGAGACTTTATCAAATCTGGAGCAGACTTGCACTGCAACCAATCAACGTCTCTGTCTCATTTTTAAATCGTTCCTGAGCAAACTGGAGAGAAGCTGATTGGTTGCCACGGGCAACTGCTCCAAATTCTGTCTGCTCCAGTTTTGTGTGGATATACTTGGCATATTTTCATGTAAAGTCTGGTATTAGGATCCTGTTTATGAAGCTTACAGGGCAGTGATCGGTGCGAGCCTCCATATCTTTTTGTACAGGCTTCCAGTAATAAATGACAAAGTGAAATGTGTAGAGATCTGCAGGTTTTTTTTTTTTGTTTTTTTTTTTTTAATTCATTGATTGAAGAAACCGAACAAAAATGAAACCTTCTGAATATTCACATTTTGTTTTAGTATGAGGTATGCCCTGATGTAGGCTTTGACAGACCCAGAACTAGGAACCTGCTTTAAAAACCTAGGAAGCAGCACTTTGCAGACTACCTGTCCCCTGGAGGTCAGTGGGCTCTGTTAGGATGGAGGCTCCTCAGCTTCTAGACACGTAGGACTCTGCTGCTCTCCATCCATTGATCATTCCTGTCATACTGATTTGTCTTCACTGTCCTCCATTCCCATGGGACTGCTGCAGTTTTACTTTCGTAGGGATAGAAGCAGGAAGGAGAGCTGGGGGTGAATGACTCTGCAGATACATATTGCTAATGCATGCAGTGTGATTGGGTAGGAGCTGGAGAGGTACAGCCAAACCCACAGGGCTGCTGATATAACTTAATTTACTACATCTGTGTTTTTTTATATATTCAGGTGAATTGAAAAATCGGTTTACCTGATCTGTGTCATCCTTCCTTAATTTCAGTTCTTGAATTTTGACTTGGTGGTAAAGAATTTCCTGTTTTGGCATAGGACTTCTTTGGGCAGCATTGATGGAACAGAAATCGGTGCCGTTTGTGAGAATACACGTAGGGATGACTTAAAGGTTGCTGGGTCGGTTGTTTCCTTATAGAGGGGCTCAATGCAGTTCACCACTTCCAATAATCTGACTGGCAGCTGTCCTCCTGGTGTGTTGATGGGCAGTGAGATGTTGCGTAGACTGAAAATACCATTTGTGTTTAACCTAAAGAGATGCATGTACAAAACTAAACTCGGTAGTTAAATCTTAAAAATACATTCAACTACCTTTTTTTTTAATAACAGAAAAGTATTTTATTTGTGTATCGCTCAGTTGTAGATCCTCAAATCATCTCTAAGCTGGTGCTGACACTGTCCTTCCTTCTGGAGGGGGGCTACTTTTGTCCCCCATGTGCCCTGTATGTGTGTTGTAAAGTAGTCACCGCTCCAAGCTCGCTCCCATGATGGTCTACAGTATCACATATAGTTTACTCATTTTTATTCAGATTGTAGTCTATCACTGAAGCAAGCTTGGTGCAGTGGCTACTTTACAATACACACAGGGGCTATGGGGAACAGAAGTAGCCACCCTGCAGAACAAAGGTCAGTGTCGGCGCCAATTCTGAGATGATTTGAGAATCTACAGCCGAGTGATGGACAAATAAGATGCATTTCTGTTAATAGCTGGAGTGCTTGAATGGATATTTAACTTTTTTAAGAGCTGCAGAGCACACTGAGAACAGGCAACAAGGGCAATGAGTGACCGAAGGGGAATTTAATGTCTGTGGGTACTCTTTTATACTTAGTGTATCTGCTGAAGACCAGAAGAACAAAGATGGTCCAGATCTGCTCTACTCCCTAAGGTGTCCACAGGCATATTAGAACTTGTGACCATTGAGCTGTCTGCAGGCCATTCCCAGAAAATCTTTCACTGGGGACTATGCTTTGGCGTTTGGTTGGGCTTTCCAGGTCTACCAACAGCAATAAGCTACTCCTCCTCCACCAAACCTTCTTGTTAGCCTGATGTAAATGTGCATGGGAATAGTTGTTTGGTGTCTAGATCATTTAAACTCTGTAGATGGGCATGCTTTTTACCACACCCAAAACACAGAAAACTGCCACTCTGTTTACACGCTAACAAAACCTTTAATGGACTATATTGCCAGACTATTTATTTTAGCAACAATCTTCCCATAGGATTATATGTGCACTTTATGCATGGAAATGCATGTCATTTACCTGTTAAGTCCTCCCTTGTGTAGATTGCTACTACTGGGCACTGCCATCTTGGATGTCATGTCAGACTGTTAGTCAAGTAACAACAGTAATTTCCCTGCACTTCTTCCCTGTCAGCTGCATAAAAGGTTATGTAGGGAGGTCAGGGAAGGGGCCCAAGTAGCTGGGCCAGCACAGACAGTAATGAGGCACTCCCAGAACACGAGAGGGATGTGATGTGTCAGGGGGAACTGTGGCTGTGCTAGGGAACTGACTGTTCCTAAAGTCAAATATTGCAGGTGAGTAAAAAAATAAATTTATTTATTGAAAGGAAAAACACAGCAAGTAAGCATTTAGAATACTTGCTTTCCTGTATGTTTACCTGCAGTTTGTTGTTGGTGACTGGATCTCTCAGGGTGACGAGCTAGAATCCGAACTCAAATTACCCCAACAAAGCTTAGGGTGCAGTTATGAGGCACCCAGGAAAATGTGGTCTATTCTGCTAAATACAGTCTAATTCTGTGTAATCAGCGAGTCTAGGAAAGTGTGACAACTGGGGGTCACAAGATGTGCCAAGTCCTGGACTTTTTTTTTGTTATTCTACTGCAATGCATTTAATGACCACAGCCTACTGGCCTGGTGTGCATGGGCCCTTAATGTCTCTTGGGGATCTTCATCAGAATTCTGTCCAAGCCGACAAAAGCCAAACAATAGTATCAAAGTTGCCCGATAGTCTCCAGAAGTGCAAATTGAACACTTAGTAGGGAAACCCGGTATAACTTGCTGACGTCCTTGATATGGCTTTAATTGGCCCAATTCATTGATGTTTGTGTGAGAGATGGAAACCTAATGGGCGATTCGACCCATCGCTGGCCATCAGTTTGTGGAGTAGTCATTTTGGATTTTTATAATTGAGTTGTTTCATATACAGTTTTTTTTTTTTTTTTTTTAACCTATAATATTGTATGCAAGTAGGCCATCAAGCCTGCAAAAATATTTATCATGCAGGTTCCCATTGCGAAAAGTGTTCATTTTTATTTGAAGGAGTTAAAATAATCAATTCTATATCTAGTTATTAGATGAAAGAATTGCATTACAATTAAAATTGTCTAAATATGAAAAGAGAAAATCGGGTGATGTGACATTTAGGTATATTCTTTCTTTCGTGTTTTAACACTTTGTCACAGAGTTTTGATCCTGAAGAATTTAAACTCCATCCTGTTCTTTTTCTGTTAAGGTTAAAATTGAAGAAGGAAAATACAGAAGTCGTCATTTGACACGTTTTTTAAATGAGAATTATTTGAAGCTCAGAAATAAGTGAAGCTGAATTTGAAAAAAAACTATGCATGCTAATTGTCAGAGCTGAAGTCCTACTTGTAGAATATTGAGAAATAAGTATGAAGTGGGGAAGATGAAAAAGAAGTCAGAATTTGAATGACTGAAGAATGAAGAAGGAAATGAAATAAAAAATGAAGTTATGATAAGAAGTAAACTGGAGTCATAATTCTCTACGCTAAGTAATTACTAGTCTGTTTCTGTGTCCCTGTACATTTTTTCAGAATAAATGCATGCATTATCTGTTTAAGAATGCATACAGGGTAAACAAAGGGGAAATTATGATATCATTAAGACGCCAAAACACCTTTTTTATAGACTATTTAAAAGCAGAGTATAATTTCAAGCTCAGAGTTTTAGATCTTAAGTTGAAACTCTTTTTGGGTCATCTAGTTAATCTTTATCTGTTTGTGTTCAGGAGTCCCGGTCTGCTTCAAGGAGTGGCAGCGCTCGTCGATCAGGCAAATCCGCAAGCCATTCCCCGACTCGTTCACCTGCACGCTCGAGGTCTAAAGAGGGGTCCAGACATTCAAGATCAAAGTCCCGATCTAGGTCTGAATCAAGGTACACTATTTCCTAAAACTGCCATGACCAGAGGGGGGGTTTTACCTCCTTTACTGGTAATTTTTTGATAAGTCGTCCTAATTTATTTTTTTAAAATCCTTTTAGATCTAGATCAAGAAGAAGTTCTCGACGTCACTACACAAGGTCTCGCACTCGTTCAAGGTCTCACAGAAGGTCCAGAAGCCGTTCTTACAGCAGAGACTACCGAAGACGCCACAGCCACAGTCGATCTCCCATGTCCAACCGAAGGCGGCATATAGGGAGTAGAGTAAGTTCGGTATGCTATTAAATAAGCACTTTTCATTACAACCATACACAGTAATGTTTTAATGTCCTGTTTAAATGTTTGTGGGTAGAAGTATGGAAACTGCCACTGCTGCATCATGTATTTTTAGGGTGCTATCATCCTTGCTTAGTGAGTTGCTGACCTGGGAAAAAAGTGTCCAGCCACTGGAGTCCTGGCCCAATACACACATTGGGGGAGAATTTATAAAAACTGGAGCCGATTTTACACTGCAACCAATCGGCTTCTCTGTCTCATTTTCAAATCCTACTTGAGCAAACTGAAGAGATGATTGGTTGCCCTGGGCAACTGCTCCATATTTTGTCTGCTCCAGTTTTGATCAATTCCTCTCATGCTGTTTTGTGATTTTCAGTCCCAGTGATAGTGGTCATCAGGACAAAGAGAGTGAATCTCCCTAATGGGGACGCAATAACAAGACTGCAATAAAAACCTGACAGCTGTTCTAATCCTCTTTATCCATAACTAGAAAAAAAAAAGTTTGGCTTCAGTTGCACTCTCTCAGGAGCTTTCACCCGTGTCAGTCTCAGTCTAGGTTTGCTATTGTATTTTACGGCCTGTTCACACGGCTGCATTACAATAATGCATTTTACATGCATTGGTGAGATGTGGTGCATTGCTTGTAATATGCTCTATGCTAGCAAAACTTGCAGGAGTGGTCCATTGATATGCATTAGGCAGCACATTCAAATAATTGAGCTGTCATAATGCAACATGATGAGTGTTAAAACACCCAGCTGTAAACAGGCTTTTATAGGGAGCAGCTAGAAATATGAGTTATTCCTAAATATGATCCTTAAAAATCCTCCTGAAAATAGCAATGCACTTCCTGTGCCTAGGCACTCGTGTGCATTCAGCCTCATATGCTAGTCTCATGAGACTTGAAGATGGCACTACTGTGCTGCTCACTGCCTCCTCAGCAAGGAAATAATCCCCATATTTTATTTATTCTGTAGGTCTCTGCTTTCTCAAGCACTTCGGTAACAGCACTGGGAGGGAATCTCTTAAGGTGCCCGTACACCTGCCGATTATCGTACGATAGTCACGGGTGTTCCCGCGATCGTAAGATAATCGCCAGGTGTGTGAAAGGCGTGCGACCGTTTCTACTGTACAGTTGCACATCTTTTTGTCTCCCGAGCAGGCTCGAAAACCGGCCGAGAATCGTACGATTGTCGGCGGGTTAGTGGCATTCTCGGGAGACAAATGCCGCACGGGCCGGTGTGCACAAGCGGCATTGGAATAATCGGAAGCCCTCCCCTCAGCGGGGCGGGCTTGCGATGATCAAGTACGATCTGCCTGTCCATAATAGGCAGATCGTACAAGCTTTTAATCACTTTACATCCATCGCACGTAGAGAGTTGTGTGATGATTGTAAAGTGTATGGCCAGCTTTACATGAGGAAGCACAGTCCTTCCTATATCACGGTGGCCACCTCCATACAGACCTGGTGAGGGCCAGTGCCAGGGTGCTTTGGACTGCAAATGCAGCATGCTCTTCACATTTGAGGGGCTTCTGAGCTCATTTAGTATGGGGAGAGAAGCACATCTGAACCCAAGTCAGTCCTGGGGTAAAGATCAGCTGCAGGGAGACCAAAGGCAATATGGGTGACTAATCCTTTAGCTGCCTTTTTGGGGCACAGCTTCTACAGTTTAAAAGAGAAATATGGTCCAACCTTTTTTTGGTCATAGTTCTCTTTAGGGTCACTGGAGGACCTCTATTGTCTTCCTGTGACACAAAACTCGGCATACACTGGGCTATTGCCCACTATACGCTGACGGCACAGAGCCGCACTGCAGTCTGGATGGATCCTGGCAATATTGTTGGGATACACCCCCTGTGCCCGACCCCTCCCCTGTCCTTCCAATCAGTGCTGGAGGAACAGAGAGGGGAGGAGGGAATCCCTGCAGGGAATGGTGACTGAGGCACTGCTCTCTCTGCAGGGAGATCAGGAACTGCGTGATCAGCAGTATGTGATCGCTCAGCTTTTGATCAATAAAGCCGATGTGTGACAGCTTCAGTGTCTCGCACCGACTCCAATTATGGGGATGAGTGTTATTTCACTGTAACCCATAATTCTCCTTAAGAGCTTTGTTAAAAACGGCAGTGGTGGATCCCATATTTCTTCCCTGATTTGTCTTTAATGTTTGTCTGTCTTATTACTATGTATGTATGTCTGAATTTTAATTGTCTGTAGGCTATTTGAACAGCGCTAATATTGTTTCAAATGCATTTCAACCATAGGCAAACCCTGATCCCAACTGCTGTTTGGGAGTGTTTGGTTTAAGTTTGTATACCACGGAGCGAGATCTAAGAGAGGTATTTTCAAAGTATGGTCCAATAGCCGATGTATCCATCGTGTATGATCAGCAGTCTAGACGTTCCAGAGGGTTCTCGTTTGTTTACTTTGAAAATGTCGAGGATGCGAAGGAGGTGAGAAATACGTTTTGGTGCAGTTTATCTACAATTGCTAATGTTTTAGTATTTTTTTTGTTTTGTTTACACGATCGTGTAAACCCCCGCAGTTCTTAAGTGTTAATCAATGTAATATGTTCATTTTTTAGGCGAAGGAACGCGCAAATGGAATGGAACTTGATGGAAGACGCATACGAGTAGATTTCTCAATTACAAAAAGACCCCACACCCCTACCCCAGGAATATATATGGGAAGGCCAACCTAGTAAGTACCTAACTTTTCTCCTATTTTGGCAAATAAATGCAGACTTTTTTTTTTCATTCGGGGCTATGGAGAGAAGTTGTCCGTCTATGGGCTTGGAAATTGCAATAAAACAATGTAAATACTAAAATTCAAGACAAGGTTACTTGAAATGCACTTTAAGTGTAGTCTGTCAGGTTAGGAAAAGGGGTTAACCCATTGCTAACTTAAAAAACTCCAGCATGTTCAAAATTAACCCTTGCAGTGGGGCAACCCCCCACACTGCAAGGGTTAAGTGCTCGTTTTGGTCTAGGGTCTAAAATAAGAACCTACTTGCCTGATCCTTGGTCCCGTGGCGGGGACCGCTTCCACACCAGCTGTGGTATGTCCGTGGGGGTCCTTGCGTCTAATACAAGCAAATGGACCTTGCATAGATGAGATTACATCAGTGAGACTTAGTCTGCTGTAACCTGGTTGAGAAGAGGCTATGGGGGACTGGTCTGGCAGCCAGGCGAAACTGAGGATCGGGCGAGTAACTTTTTTTTTAATTATTTTTAGACTCTAGACCAAAACCGCACTTAACCCTTGCAGTGTGGGAGTAGCCACACTGCAAGGGTTAATGTTGTATTTGTCCAGAGTCCTTTAATTGATTTGGGACTGTCAGCCTAGACTACTTTGTGAAAAATAATTCCATATTCTGTTCCTCTGTCAGCGATGGCTGCTGATATGTTTGTTTTTCTCCTTCCTATCTGCGTCCAAGTTCAGGCACCTGGACCGGCATTGATGTGCAGGTTCAGGTTGGCGTGCAGCTGTTGTCTTCCATAAGCATGTTCAGGCAGATGCATTCAGTTACATTCGGCACCTGTCCCTCCCGTGAACAAGTCTTTGCACATGCCTGAGTGAATGAGCCCTTACGGCTGTTTGACTGCTAGGACACCAGTGGCGGCCTCCAGATTCCTTTCAACTTGGGTTTCTGTTTAGAGGCAAACTTGAGTTGAACTTTTAAGAGAACATGTTTTAAAGTGTAGCTCCACTTTTGCAGTCCAATTTGAGAAAATTCCACTTATGGGTTCTCATCCACACAACATGCCAAAAAATGATTTAAAAGAATTTGTTTCTTTGGTGAAGGCCTTTGTGCAGATTGCAGGCTCCTCTGAGCAGTTTGAGAGTGGAACCATAGTGTCAGACTGAACTTCCTCTCATTAACACACAGTGCCTCCAATGGCTGGAAGGACAGTTTCACACGAGCTGATCAGGAGGGGACACGTGCACAGATTCCATCCTGATTAGAGCAATACGGATTGGATGTCGCTGCTGTGACATCAGTGTCTGTCTAAAATGACCGGGCCCCCTACTAAGTGTCTGGTATATACCTCATGCTTGCTCTGCCTGCTGTGAAGTGTTTCAGGGAGTATACACGTCAGCCACGCATAGGGAGCAGAAGAAATAGTCTGTCAACAATAATCTGTGTGGCTGTAAAGATGATAAATCCACTGTCCAGCCATACACTGGATGAAATGTTTCCATGTCATTCCTGCCAGTAGATAAAGCTGAGGAGTTTCCACATTACTTTTTAGATTTAAAGGAGAACTATGGGGTTAAGGCTAGTTCTCAGGGTAACGGGAGGGCACAAACTAGCGTCCTCCCGTCACCCTAGGCTCAGTATACAGCGAGCTACTCGCGGTATACTGAGACGCTGAAGCGGATCCCGACAATTATGCCGGGATCCTCCCAGCTGCGTGACTGACAGCTGGCTCTGCCTATCTAGAGGCGGAGCCAGCTGTACCCGCCCCCGTCAGTTCCGCCAGTCAGCACTGGCGGAAGGGGGAATCCAGCCCCTCCCCTGTCACGGCACAGAGCCATGACAGGATCGAGAGGTGAGCGAATGCCGGTATGTGTTCGCTCACTTCTCGATCTACTGAGCAGACCTGTGACAGTCTCATTGTCACAGGTCGGCTAGAACTATGAGGTGAGTGAAAAGCACTCATCTCATAGTTCTCCTTTTTAACTTAAGCAGGCTGATAAACTGGTATTGAGAGGAATTGTAATGAGCCAATATAGGATAAGTGCGTGTCGGAAATCAGGTTTAGGATATACACTTTTTTTTTTTTTTTTAATATGCATTCATTTTGAATCCTTTTTAAAATGTCTGTTCATTTTTCCCTAGTGGAAGTTCACGCCGTAGAGATTATTACGATCGAGGATATGAGAGAGGAGGGGGATATGATGACCGAGAATACTACAGCAGATCTTCTTACAGGTTTGTACTGTTACATTTCCCCCCAATAGTCTCAGGGCTTGTTCGTCCTACACATTGCATGCTATGGTGTGTGCACTGCCCTGTGATGTAACTAGGAATGCACCAAAATATCGGCCGAAAAAGGCACTTTCTTCAAAATGCCGAAGTGTCCTCTTTCGGCCGAAATAGTGGTGCACATCCCTGGTTTCTCTCCTCCACGCTGGGCGATGTTCTGTGTCCCAGCGGGAAGAAACTGTCACAGGAGGCCGAGCGATGTGAGCGGCTGGTGTCTCCTTCCGCACAGGTCTTCCTCGGAGAGCGGTGTGGGGGTGGAGACAGCTGTCACAGGAGGCCGGCTGTGTGGTGGCAGAGTCGTCAGAGTAGATTGTTTACTGTGTCCCCAGTTATGAATGAATGGGAAGTGATCTGCATCACCTCCTGTTCCTTCATCATTGGGGACATGGTAAACATACTCTGTCCTACTCTGCTGCAGAAAAAGAGATTGAGGGCTCGGTGTTCTCAATCTTTTTCCACTTTAAAAGTGAAATATCTGGGATCTGTTTAGACCCCTAATATATTTTCCTGACACCCTCAACAGTGAAAAAATAAATATTAAAGGTTAGAGGAAAGAAAAAAAAATGTTGGTTTCTGACACTGTTTTTTTTTTTCGTTTGGAAAAAAAAAACAAAAAACTTTGGTGCACCTCCTAGTTGTAACACATTGCAGTTCTTTTGTACTTAATTTTTAGCTTACTATGTAGAGCCTTCTATAGGTATCGAACTGTTAGCTACCTTCCACACATGTCACTTGGCTTATGCTGCTTGGTAAACTTTTTCATGCAAGCTCAGCCACTACTCAAATAGCTTGCAGAAGACTTCTTTTCATATTGCAGTCACTAACCCAAAACAAGTGTGCAGCAATTAGATTTAGTGATGTCACAACTCCCAGTCTCTTTACTGATCTAGTTCAGTGACTTGTTTGGCAGGACATCCAGCAAATTTAGCAAAGGAATAGTAACCCTTGTATTTCAGCACTTTTTTTTTGTGTGCGTGCAGGTAAGTTAAGGAAAAAATATAGCAGCAGTTTACTGTTTGAGTGATATTTGACAACCCAAATATTGAAATGTTTATAGGAAACCTGTACTTTACATATACTGATCAAAGTAATGGATTTGCTGCAAAAGAGGCGCTGTAAGCAGCCCTTGTTTGCCTTCCCAGCACAGTTCAGTGCTTTGGAAGTTGGCAATTGAATCTTCATCTAGCTTGCCATGAAAAGTGTTTTCGTTTGGTATTGCACTGTAAAAAATGTGTTCCGTTTTTTTTTAATTTCAGAGGCGGAGGAGGAGGCGGTGGTGGTGGTGGCGGCGGAGGAGGAGGAGGATGGCGTGGCGGACAGGACCGGGACCAGTTTTCTAGGTAAGTCTACAATTTCCCTCATATCCTGCCCATTTGGAAGTTTTAGTTTGAAAAGTTGCAAACACAATTCTGTTTTATGATCTGAAAATGGAGAAGCATGAATTCCGAAACACACAATTCCGAAACAATATGCAGTGTATTTGAAAATAAAACAATTTGCAGATTATATGAAGTGATCTCCCTTTCATGTTTATAGGATAAAGCTTCCAATGTAGTCCCTATCTGACATTTTCAACAGATGCCAGCCACAGTGCATGTTTATCTAAGGTCCAGTGCCTAAAGTGTGCGGGCAGCATATGGCACTATGGGGAAGCAGGAGCTGGATGCCCCCACACTCCTTCCTGCTGTTCCAAGTTTGACATTACACAGACTGTGTAAGGCCTCATATGCAGACATGATGCATCCAGGTCTGTATACAGTCTATGTAGCTGTCGGAACTGCAGGAAGCAGCTTTTGAGTGGGAGCACAGCTCCTGGGTCTCTAGTTACTTGAGCTGCCCGCATGCTTCTTCTCGCAGTTCCATGCACATTAGCAGCTGGCCCTTCATGCTGTATGGAGCAACACACCCTGTGTGAATGAGGCCCAATTTATAAATGATGGAAACCTTTTTTTATCTAAATAAAATGTAGGGAACATTAAGGCTTGTTAACACCAGAACACATGTTGCATTGATGGTCTCAATTTGAATTACCCTAAATGACCAAATGCATAATTCAGTGTGGAAGATTTTCCCTAAGGCACTGTCGCACAACATTTGCTTTTCTTGTCCATGCATTCTGTCTTCAGTGCAAAGTGCATGCCCATGGTACATCAAGTAGTTTTTGTAATTCATGTATTTAATTTTTTGTAGGCGAAGATCTCCATCACCGTATTACAGCCGAGGGGGCTATAGATCTCGATCCAGATCACGATCTTACTCTCCACGTACGTCTTGTGTGTTTTATTTGGAGGCAGATTGTTTTGGTTAGACTTGTATCCCTGTAGTAGCACTTTGTTTACTAGTTTCAGACTCAACTTTGGGCTTTAACATGCAATTTAAATTAAGACTTGCTGTTTGCTTGTCAAGTGCCAGAGCCTCTGGACATTGAAATTACATTTGACCATTGAGTATGAGGGGGTTTGGGGTTGGAGCCTTGGTGCAGCCTGGTCCTAGCAAGGTCCTCTCCAAGCACAGAGGGAATTTATTTAAAAATGCATTTGTACCTTCCATTTTGCAGTATTGCTACTATGTGCGCTTTTAGGCCCCTTTCAGTTTTTCAGCCACACTAGATTGGACGCTCTAAGCACATCTATGGGCAACTGTGTGTAAACGACATGTTTCCGTTTCTACCTGGTTAGCCCCGGCCAAGTCGGGTACAACAGACGGATCATTGATCCATTTCGGCACGCACACACATGGTTCGGCACTTTCAGTTTTTTGTTTTCCGCCATCATAAGATGGAATAAAAAAAAGATTTATGGGTACGGATGTCACATAGGTGACATACGATCCCTACTGCTGACATACGATCCCTACTGCTGTGATCAGGAGAGCATCTGTTAACAGATCCACTCCTGCTACACACTTAGGCCATGTCCAATATAATTGTTTCTAAAGGTGCCCATACACTGTCTTGCGAGGGTTGTAAAGTACTGTAAAAACCGTACGATCTGCCCATCTTGGACAGGCAGATCGTACTTGCGATCATCGCAAGCCCGCCCCCCTGAGTGGCGGGCTTACGATGAGTAATGAGGGGCGGGCTTACGATGACTGCAAACAGGCAGTGTGCGCACACCGTCCCGTTCGGCAGTTGTCGAACCAGCAGGCCACTAACTCAGTCGTACGATTCTCGGCAGGTTTTCTAGCACGCTGAACTTTTCTGGGTTTTTTTTTTAAACTAATATTTTTTTTGCTTGGTTTTTGATTTTTCAGGTCGATATTGAAAGCTGAATAGATGCGACCATCTGACATTCAAAGCAAATGATTCTGAAAGCTGAATAGATTCGACCATATGAGCTATGAAGCAACTGATTTTGTGCATACAGTAATGCTTATAAGTGATGTTTGTGATGAACAGGCTTTTTTGTGACCGTTTTGGTAGTCTTGTTAATATATTTTCTTTTTTCCTGGCTCATTTAGACAAAACCGTGATCTAGATTTTGCAGAGGTTCTGCATGTATTTTTTAAATGGTTTGACTTGTGACTACCAACTTCCCTCCAAACTACTTTTTAAAAATAAACTTTTCAAATTTTTTTTTTCTTTATGATCTACTTTACCTTTATTGTATATTTGACTTATTTTATTTAGGAGTCGCGCTCATCACTTTATGGCATTCATAAATCGGGGGTGATTAATTCAATGTGGGCAGGGAGTGTTCAGTGAATATGAATGGCCTTTGTACCTTCCTAGTCAATTTACTTTTGTGTTCATCACATAATTGTAAATAATCGGGGAATCCCCCTTTTCTCAAATGTATGTGCCTAGACCTGTAGGATGTGTTGCTTTTTAACATTGTGGATTTGGATGTCAATAAACAACTGCAACTCATTTATTCCAGATAGAAGACATTAAGCTGTAAGATAAAAGTGGTTTGTTTTAGTATGGGCAGTGCAAGGTTAAACATCTGTCTAGATGCACCTTTGCATATTCTTGAAATGCTGAATATTTGCCTTTTTTGTAGCAAAATATTTGTATGTTACGATTAAAAATCTGTATTACAAATGCACAAATTATGTGAATTGAATTTGAACCCAACATGCTAAAAGCCAAAATCTTTAAAACAGACCTGGGGGGTTAGTTTGTTTGCAACCTTACCAAGCAATAACATGCCAGACCTATGTACCTATAAATGTTTGTGTACATAGTTCTAGCTTGCTCCTGCCACCAGGTGCTCCATTATGTATGCATACCTTCTTGCCTTTCTATTGGCCCAATGGGTAAGATTTGGTGTCTTTTTGGCAAGAAAGGGGGTGGGACACCAGCGTATAACTATTCAAGGACTGGCCAATGTTTGAATAGAGCAGCCTTTGTTTTTGGGTCTTGACACACTTTTAGCGGGAAATCACCATGTGATGGTGTGCTGATGCATTTTGGGGGGAAAAAATAAAAAAATTGGGTTGGATACAATATTACCTGCGGTGAGACATTCTCCATGAAAGGGCTGCCTTTAGGCAACACGTTAAATCGCTTGAATTCACTTCAGATGAGATTAATTCACTACACCACAAGTCTGAATCCAGCCTGAAAGTTCTTTTGACATGCAGAGAGTCTTGTTCCTACTCTTGGTCCAGTATGTTTCTACTTTGTCTTTTCCAAATAACAAAGTATGTACAGCACTCTAAAGAGGGGAAGGGGTGTTTTAGATGACATGTACCTGTACCACAAACTTCCAAAAATACAAAAAACGCGTGCATACACTTACCATAAGAATGTGAGTGTGCTATAAAGGAAATTCAGAGTTAGGACTTACCGGTAACTCTATTTC